TAGTTTGTACTCCATGCAGGAAGGCAGCCAGCACCTGCAGAGCACCTGGCATTCCTTGCATGTTGAGTGGGCAGGCAAGGATGGTGAGGTTGGTGGCACGGCCATATGCAACATTAGCGCGTATAAAAACATTCTTGATCGAAATCAAGATTTAGCCCATTGCCACTTAGGAAGGTTGATTGTCCATGGATGACAATGCAGTGCTTTGCTGTAGCTGACTGCCGTTTCAGCGTTAGCTTGCTTTCCGGTGATGGCAAAGAAATTACGCAGGTTTGTGGCACCTTCGCGAGTGGTCGTGAGGGCCAGGATGGCCTCGGTACCCGCTCCTGCACGACAGAGTTGTGGAAGTCCAGTGGGCTGTCAGGATTGGTGGCCGCATAGCCAAGACCAATAAGTAATCCCTCGGGGAGCTCCAGATCGACCTTGGATAAATCACTGTAGGTTGCTTGCAGAGCGCTGGCAAAAGGGAACTTGGCCACAACCCCTTCCGGTCGAAACCAGCAGCTCCCTAGCGGCTTTTGACTGACTGCATCAGCTGCATCAGCTGCCTGCTCCAGGTCATCTTGGCGAAAGCCTCGGCTGTGGTGAAGGAGGGTGTTAAACACGCCAGGAACCTCATGTGGCATGTGCCAGGCATGTGGGGCTCGCAGTCCTATTGGAGCCTTGAGAAGGAGCGTACGATGAGCTCTCTGATCATCTGCTACTCCGCCCGGGCTTTGTTTGGGATCACCTAACATTGCTCTGAAGAAGGTTGCTGGGCGACCGCAGGGACAAAGGCCGACTTTAGATCCATATCTTGCTGGGCTTCTTCGGTGATCAGAAAGTCGACATTTTCCATGTGTGTGTTGAGCGTCGAATGGGTCTGGCCTTTTTAGTCCCAGACCAGTCCTGTGGTGACAATGACAACACGACTGCCTGGAATATACGGGGCTGCATGACTGGCTTGTATGTCAAAGACTGTGCTGGCAGTGTTCGCCTCGGCTTCCTCCCTTGGAGTTTGTACGGGTTTGAAGTCGGCTTCCCCTCCAGCAACGAGTAGGTTCCATGCAAAGATACCTCAGTCGTGGCTGAAATCCCTATGGTAGGTGATACCTGGTCACAGACAAGCTCACTAGCCAGCAAGGAACGCACGTTGGTGTTGCACCTGGTCTTGACCACCCTTGCGGGTGAAGAGATACAAGAGGTTATCGATCCACAGGAGTTTGATCGGCTAGACGAGTTCGAAACTGCCGTACTGGAGAAACTGCCGTTTGTTGGGGGGCATAGCACGTTTGGGCGCGAGCTTGTCTTTGTGAACAAAGACACTGGAGCCATTTTGGCTGACCCCATATGGGATACTCTCAGAGAGAGCAACTGCTTCAACCTTGTTGTCCGCCAGGGTCTTATCCAAGTGGAACACAAAGGGCAATTGAAGCACCGTGCCAAAGCCATTCGAGTCCCGCCCACGCGTACGGGCCGTGTGTTACCCCATGCCTTCACACACACTGTTGATTTGAGGCATGTGCAGGTAGAGGCAGGAATACATACCATCGGCGAAGCGGCAGCACTGCAACAGACTGCAAATAGTCCAATTACCAAATACAGTGGTCTGTTTGCAGGATGGGGCTTTCCGCAGGAACTATGTACTACGTACCGTCACAGCCCCGGGATGCAAATGCTTTGGCCTCTGGGTGTTTGAAGAATGCTATTCCTTAATCCAGATTGGGGACCAAAGCACTACAATTAATCAGCTGGCGCCACAAGCGCAATTTCGACCACGAGCCTTTGAGAAATGCAGCTCCTTGCAGCAACTCAACTTTGAGAGAACTGAGTATGATCCCACCAATCGGTATCGCTCCATACCTGAGGGCTGCTTTTTCGAGGCTGGGATAGAGTCGTTATACTTGCCAGCAGATTTCAACTGGATGGGACCAGCGGCATGCGAACTTTGCAAACGATTACGGGCAGTAAACATCTCGCAAATTGAAATTTGTGAAATCTTGGGGGGCACCTTTGCACACTGCTCGCAATTGCAACAAGTTCTGCTTGCCAAAAAGGTGAGGCGCATTGAGCGAGACGCCTTTCTGAACTGTGAGTCACCGGGTGAGCTACATACTCCACCCACCCTGCTCTATATTGCCAAGCATGCGTTTGCAGGTTGCATACAACTTAGAGAGAGTAGGAAACAAGACCACATGGAGAGGGACGTACGCAGAGTATGATGCCTTCGAAACATGCGGCCAGCTCAAGATCCCAAGTTGGGTCCGGCTTCTCCTAAAGCCGTCCGACAGTAAAGAGGAGTGGGCTGACTTCATGAGAGATTGTGCAGAGTCGAACTGCAGGGAAGCCTAACAGCCCAAACTTGCGCCCACGTGCAGGTACTGAGAATGCAATCAACCTGCCAGTAAGCCTGCCAGCCGGACTCTACCAACTAAGCTGCCAACACTGAGTAGTTAGGCAGTACCCAGGGCTGCCTCCCAAGAGGTGATCCTGGATGAATACATAGAGTACAGATGTACAGTTCCTAGGACCTAGGATAGCGGCGTTTCACCCTTTCAAGTAGTTCATGGGCATGCATGTCTTCACTAGCTTCAAAGGCGCTCAAATCACAACATGGAGATGCTGAGCAAATCGAGGCACTTGCCGGCAAAGTGCTCCCTGCAGACAACTTGCGGTGTGTTTCGGTGTCTTTGCGCACAGTCGCTCTGCTTAGTCGTTGTTGCTCCCGTTGTCCATTTTGGAGCTGCAAGCATGGAGCGCACACAAGGCACTGCCTCCCCCATTAGGGGGGGGGGCTCCGCTGTGGAACTCTTCGGTCTCTGGACACATCGCAGGTCTTTTGGAGGTCATGGCTTTCGAAAGTGGTCGCTCTCGACTGCCTCCACCACCCACTTTTCTCAATGGCAAGTCCTTTGCATTGACTACATCCAACAACTCGTGCTCTCCACAAATATTCCTCGGGATTTTGATCACAGTGAGTCGAAGACAAAGATGAATGTCACCTCTCAACTCTGAAAGTCGCATCCCAAGTATCGACTGCCTGGGTGAAAGCATTGCGATTTCACTCAGGTGCCAATCGGTGCCTATTCGAAACTGTTGTCGGCAAAGTCGTGTTCTTTGAACTAAGTCACATGTTGCCGTGTTGCAACAATTTTCGCAAGCGCTCCCACTCCTGCACAATCTTGGTTGCATTAGCACGCATGGGCAATAATCAACATTGCCACACAAATGCTCACTGCCCGCAAAAAGGAATATCGCTATTGCCTGAGCATCAAGTACTGAGCGTTAGTAGAAGATAGAATTCAGAGCCCCGTCTCACCCTTTTTTCACTCAACTTTTGCTTCGGCTTGCACAGCCCTTCTGAGATACGAGCCTGGCTGCTCCGGTGTCTCTGTTTTGGGTTTGTTGTTTTTGTTTTTGGTGTTGTGCCTTGCTTTGATGCCTGGCTCGTATCTCCTTAGTGTCCCTATTTAATTCAATCAAGGTGACTTGTGCCTTTCGGCACACATAGCGCCTCCACCCGTGCAAAAAAAACGCCCCTGTGAAAACACAGTAGCAAAGCTTCCTTTTCGATCCCGCTCCTTGAGGGCGGATGTCCACTGCAAGTGAAATTCCACCTGAGCGCGAGTAGGCGCAGAACATTCAGTCTGATTGGAGTGAGGTCTCCCTATCAATGATCTTCACATTTCCCTGGTCGGCCATCAGGTGTCGTCTTGCCATTTCCACCTGGTGCGCCGAACCAACCCGATCACAGCTGAACGCAGCAAGGTGAGTGTGGGTTGACCAACTCAGACATGGTTGGTCGTCGGGCGCCAACGAGCCTCGAGGAGATGGGCAAGATTTTGCGTTAGAGGTTGCCGTTGATCGACGTCTGGCCATCAATTGCCAAAGGCCGAATCACCATCATCACCATCATCATCATCAACATCATTATCATCATTTCGCCACAGCGCCGAGTCGTTGGTGCAGGGTTGATCCATCCAATTTGTTCATGTCTTTGCTTTTGCCGTGCTCATTTTTGCAGAAGCACTGCGTGATCTCAGTTTTCAGTTTGAGTCTGAAACATCACATTGTTTCCAGTTGCAGCAGGCAAATCAACAAACCCAAATTGAGTGATCGAACTGTCCATCCACGTTCAGGCTGTGAGTTTTCGGGTCGCATCCATCAATGAACAGATTTGCATTTGTCATGAGAACAGGTCATGATATGCACACATTTTCTTCAAAACTGTTCCAGACGACCTCAGCTGTCAGTAACACCTTCCTGGCAACTGTAGATGCGATCAGTGTTTGGTATTTGTCGTAAAACAGAATTGTTCAACCAGTCGCACATGGATGTGTGGGCAAACTCTTTTGCCGGTCAGAAGGTCTAAATCAATGCTTTTGCCGAACCAGATTATCCAGTTGTGAAACTGGTAAGAAAGCAAAACCAATTTTGGTGTGGTGCAATGCAAAAAATGAGAACGCAGTATACTTTGCTGAATTCTGAACCACAGCTTAGATGTCGCATTGGATGCTCACCCACTTTGGCCCATGAATTCTGAATGAGTTCTGGCACACATCGATTTCATGCATTTCTGTTTCCATCTTGTGGTCCCTGGATTGAGTGGTGCTGAATATTGTGCTCTCACAGCTTTTGCTTGTGGAAGGCAGTTTCATGAGAAGATTAAACATCTGGGCCACATGGCGTCATCACCTGTAAAGAAGACATCAAAGAGCTGATGATTCAAACTGTTTGTTGGGTATTCACCAAAGAGGCCTTTCGTTTCACTTCAAACCCTTCACCTTGTATCACGAGCAACATAACGGACATAACGCTAGAAACACTGCTGTTTGTCATGAGCGTTCACATGCTGTTTAACTATTTTAACTTTGCAATCCAAGTTACTGTGCTTGCATCATGACCATTCTGCATTTGTTCCAGTGTTCTGGACAATGGGTTGACAGTCGAAGAGGGGCAGGCAAATACAGGCACAAAGCAGGCAAACATATTAAGATGAGCCTGGGTCAGACTGTCGGGCACTTGAAGACACAACCTTTTGCCAAGCTTGATCTGGAAAATGATCCGAACATGTGCCCTATCGGCCGTTCGTGATCAGGCACCCCACAGGACTGTCACAATTGTTTGGACACACGGACCGAATTGAGATGTGCAGGAGCTTGATCACCCAAACCGTGAAGAAAAGCACCAAATCTTATGGTTGTGCACTCCGGAATATTGGCAAGGCGCTTCAACACTTGATCATTGTTCCTTCACCAACTGGATGCAATCGCTGGAGTCAGGCTGCGGGTTTTGTCGCAATTGGATGCTTGCGTCGTGTACGTCCTTGTCGGGAGACCTGCCTGCTTCATATGGCGTGCCTTATTTTTGTTTTTGTGCGAATGCAGTTTGGTGCGTGTCTAGGACAATCCTTCTGCAGTCGTGTCATGGTGTGTGGAGAGAGACTGAGGTGTTTTGCGACGCTCAATGGAGGTGCAAAGCGGGAAGGGGAAATGTGGATACTTTTGCGCTGCATGTATATCTCTTTGTGTCTCTGATTCGTTCATGGGAGGCCATCGCTATAGGTTACATTCAACTCACTGCGTGCGAGTGCGGTTTACTCCAAGTTCTGTATCACTCTGGAGTTTGCAAGGACGTGGCATCGGAAGATGCAGGCCTCTTAGGAGATTCCCGCACCCTTCTGCAATTTCACAATGCTGAATTTATCAGAAGAGAAACGCAGGGATTGAATGAAATTGAATTGACTTTTGGAAGGGATTAATTTGTTCTTGTCCGTGCTACTAAATGATCGAGGGCCCTTTCAGGCGGAAGGTTGAGTTGATGATATTTCTGGACCAATGGGGCTGCAGATTTGCAGCAGCACTGCACTATGAAGGCAATTTCGCGCTCCAAGTCCGACTCCAACTCCAAGCTCTCTGAAGAAGTTCAGGATTGGTTCAACACTTTGGCAATTTGGGTTTAGGTTGGAGGCCATCGCTACTAGGGTGGAGGCCATCGCTAGTAGGTTAGAGTCCATCATTCTTATTATGATCTTGGGAAGATGTGAAACTTGATTGAGCAAGATCTGTGAATCAGGACACATTGGCAAAGGCCAAAGCCAGATCCAAAGCACGAGATTCCGAAGAACGCCAGAGGACCATGCAGAAGGCATGTTACTACTAGCTTCTTGTTACTACTAGTAAGGCACTTGTTACTAGTAGCGATGCACCTGTTCCTACTAGCTTCTTGTTACTATGTTCTTTTTGCTCAATGACTTCTTTATTGACCTTCGACCTTTGACCCAGCAATGTCCTCCAACCTAGTAGCGATGGCCTCCAACCTAATGACATGTTTATTGATCTTTTGATTTCTTAATTTTGCCAATGTAGGACTCCGACCTTTGACCCAGCGGCACCTTGGAGAACTCGGGACTTGAGCGTTCTAAGGAGAACTCATTCTAAACGCAGTGGCAAAGGACAATACGATGCCTTGCAAGTTTTTTCTTTGTTCGATGTGATCGAGGGGTGAAGGGTTGAAGGCGTCTTGGTTCCGTTCGGTTGGAGGCCATCGCTATTTGAGGCCAGTCTGGCTGTTTGGTGTTTTCAGTTTGGGACTGATCGGGACGGTATCCAGCAGTCTTGCTGGTGCTGAATCTTGCTGTACGCTGTGCCGGTTTGTGAGCCTCTCAGCTTGAACATGTAAGATTCATGCAGTTTGGGACCTGGCTTGGCAACAAGTCTTTGCTTTTTGGTTGGCCTTGGAGTGGCTGCGGCTGCGTTAAAAAAGTTTCTTCTGCAGTTCATAGGAAGAACACTGGCGTGCAACTGGTCCACAAGTCCACATGTCCACATCTAGGAAGCAAACTCAGAATCCCGCTGTAGTGCAGCGGAAGGTCCAAGAAGCTACTAGGAACAAGAAGCTACTAGGGTGGAGGACATCGCAGTGGCAGTGCTGTTTCCGCCCTCAACTTTTGCTAGCTCGGTGCGCAGTTGACTGTGTTCTACAGTTGAAGTCTGCACGCGGTTCCAGTCATGTTTGGTTGATGTGGCTGTGTTGTTTTGTTGCCTTTGTTCTGTTCTGATAGCGCATAACTTCTGGCCATCAACGATTCCTCAGATCTGTTTTCCGAATCAAGGCTAATAGGATGAGTGCTTTTGCAAGCAAAGGGTTTTGTGTTATTGACGCTGCTCGTTGCATTAAGGTGCTTGTGAACGTTGCGCATTTGCATGTGTATATATACATAGAGTCTTAATTAAGGCATCAAATTAATAATAGCAGTTATCCTGAAACAAGTAAAGAAACCAGGTTGAAAGCACAAAGGTTGTTTCCTTTGAGCTGGTTTCTCAGGCTGAAGTCGGGGTCACTGAGCCATTGGGATTCTTCGATCCGGCTGGTTTTTGCTCCAAAATTGACAAGGCAAGCAGTGAAGTCGCCCTCACATCGTGTGTCGATTGGATGACTCAAGTCAGTCATGCTCGAATGCATTTTCTTCAGCAAAGTGCGGTCCATGGAACTTTGATCGCCCATCATTTTACATGTTCAAACGTAGGGGCTTTTGATCAATACAGTGCATTCACTCTTTTCTGCCACAATCACAGACCTTTTGACATGCTTGGTCACCGAGATTGGTAGGAGAGCCCAACACGCTTCTCACTGCTTCCAATGAGTGCGCGCAATTTGTTGAGACTTGCGCCGACTCTGAAATTGCTTCGGCTAGTCACTATGTGGCAAAGATCACGAAGGCAAGAGTGTGAAGAAGAATTTCCTGGCCCAGCTTGCGGCCAATCTTTGGAAACAGTGAAAAGAGCCACCTTATTTAGGTCTAGAGCCTGGGTTCTGGACTTGCCAAGGCAGCAGCAAGTACTGACGGGCTGTCAGAAAGGTCCTCCAGGAGATTGCGTCGCCGGCTGGAGCTGATTCCAATGCCAATGCAGTGCCGGAAAAGACCCGGAATTGCTGAAGTATAAGGTGCTTTGTTGGTTGCTTCTTAGCTGAAGGGTTCAATGTGGGAAGCTTCTTCCGTCCCCGCCTGAGCCGGCTCGTTGTGATGTGAAGAGATGGCTTCATAGAAACAGCCTCAGGCTCAGGCTCTTTCTCACTGACTCACAGCAAAGCTCCTTGCAATGACGTAGACCTTGTACACGATCTGCTCCCTGGAAAGATCACTGCCACTGACAAGAGGAACTTCCAACCAAACTCTTCATAATCACCCTAAAGATGCGGTCGCTTGCTTCAGCCGTGCGCAAGTCTTCAACAAGCCAGTGCGTCACTGCAGCCATGGCGCCAGCTCGACACAGCTCCGTGTACTGGTTCTTGGCAGTGGACTTGTAGAAGAGCCAAAAAAGTTCCTTCGGTGCATAACCTTCTTGGCAACAATAAACAGCACATGATGCGTTCCTTGATGGAGGATGACGGCCAGTGGGTTGCCAGTCCATGTTTGACCGTTGTCATTTGAAGGCCTTCAGTCGATTTTGGATGATGGAGATCTCAGTTGCTACGTGACCCTCTGACAGCTTCATGCCTGGTGTCTAAGCTTACGCTGCGTCAAAAAGACTCTTGGCGCCAGTGGCTGCTGGTGATTCACAAAGCTTGGCCATGATTGCATCTTCTTCGGTGGGCAGGCTCAGAGCCATGAGGCACGTTAGAAGATCTTGCGCGCCCCAACGCATCAATTGCTGAGGCTGACGCTGGAGACTCTGCAGACAAACTTGGCCGGCGTATACGTTGAAGCGTTTGAATGCCAGGTTGCGCAGGTCACAGTATCGGCTTTTCGGGAAGAAAAATAAATAATCATACCGCCTGGCTTCTTCCATCCGGCCTGACAGGCCCACGTATTGCCAAGGAGGAAACTGGCCCATGGGACTTGGAACCGTCCACTACCTTCCTGAGCATATCGGAACAGCTGGCTCTTGTTCCCATCCTTGATCGTCAGGCTTGCTGCTTGGAACAATGAGAAGGATGTATTCAATTGGGGAAAGACTGACTCGGGGGCCATGCGAAAGCTCCAAGTTCGCCATCATCAGGTTGATCGTTGATCACTGTTGTCGTATCCTCGGCCAAGATGATCCGCCTGATCTTGTGAACACACACAGGCCAAGAGACGCCTGCAAGGAGTCAGGTTTCAGCGCCGCAAGACCAAATGCCCGCACCTTCACCAAGGCCTCAACCAGCAATCCTTTGATTTGAACCATAGTTTCCCAACAGCTTCTTCTTCTGCTTGTACTAGGGGGGACTTCATCTAGCACTTACAACAAGGGCTGAGATATGGTAGGTCCGGTGCGGAGGCTTCCTCAATCCAGAATTCGGTGCTCTGTTCAAAGACATTCTCTCCGGAAGGAGGAGCTTTTCTTTTGGGTCTTTCCTTTTCTTTAGGACTTTCCTCTGTGTTTCCCACCACGTCTCTTTCCACCACCTTTTCCTTCAATCCACCTCCAAAGCCATTGATTGAGCTCACACAGGCAACCCATTCTCCAAACCGTCAGGAACTCTTTCATTTTCTGCTTGCGTTCAATGTCATAGAGCACGTCATTATGTCTTCTTCTCCACACTGATCTCAAAGAGTCATCTTCGTCGCTCTTTGTTGTGGTAGATGACACCCGCCAAAAATGCCAAAAACAAGGCCTCAAAAACCTTGCACGCGTCGATGTCACCGCCGCGCACGGGCTTGACTTGGACATGTGTTCATTTGCTTCATTGGCGTTCCCACGCAGTCCCAGGCATGTCGTGCCGCCTGAAGCAGGACTGCAAGAGGTACAAGCGGCAGCGCTTTGAACTTGAGAAACCATGCGGCCTTGACAATGTGATTTGGATGGGCCAAACAAATGGAATGTTGAAGACAAGATGGTGCAAACACCTGCTTCGCGTGACCATCACGCATTTTGGGCACGCAGCTCCACGGTGCCTAGGGCCTAGGGTCATGCAAATACTGTGCGATGAAAGATTGTGATTGGATCACAAGGGCGGACAATTGTTGAATGTTTTCCGTCGCAGGCAGATTCTCATGCATTTTCTTCAGCGAAGTGCGGTCCATGGAATTTCGGCCGCCCATCATTTCACATTTTGAGACGTAGGGGATTTTGATCCATACCAACTACCAGCTACCCGGCTGAAAAGCAATCCACGTGCGCTGTCAGCACTCACTGTTTTCTGCCACGACCACAAACCTTAAGACTTGCTTGGTCACCGAGATCGTGTTTTGCAATGTTGAACTTGACCATATGTGTTCTAAAACAATCTAAAACAATTCTTGTACTTGTGAGTCTCGGCCTAAAAAAGTGCTATTAGCTGATGGGTAAAAAAACATGCGGATCTGAAGTGGTTTTTCTTGCCACAAACCTCGAACTTGTGCATTCACGTATCTACCTTGAGTCTCCAATGACCCTTTTAAATTTGCCTTTCCAAGAAAAAGAGATTTTTGAAAGAAAGCACTCTTTTTTGCATATGTCACGAAATGTTCCTTTTTTGTTTGTGCCCTGTCAGATCCTCCTTAGACAGTGTCCTGAGACCTTTTTTCGGCGTCCAAAACGCGTCTTTTTGCATCCCAAAGGCGTCTTTAAGCGTCCGTGCCGGACGCGTCCGGATGAAGATTCACTCTGCACCTTTTTTTGAATCCTCATCTCTAAAAACGCGTTTTTCGAGCAAAAACGCAGAAATATTAGACCCCAAAAAAAAAACAGAAAAAAAAGGTCTTTGGAGACTCAAGGTATATATATATGTAGTTATATATATATGGAGACAGCTCCAGAGGAAATCCATTGTTGGTGTCTTGGGATGTTCATCGTCAGATCAAATTCCGTCAATACCGCACCTCCGAGCTGAAGCATGGCCGCCTATGCCCTAAGCCAAACGCAAAGCCAAGAACGTTTTTTTCCGGAAGGTCATTGATGCCAAGTTCATGTTTTTGCCTTTCTTTCATTTTGTTTTGTAAACCTTTACAGCCTGTTTTGAACGTACATTTTATAGGATTCTTCAGTGGGAAACCTTTTTGAGGCATCGCTATGCTGGCAGCTGTAGGCCTTATTGGGCAGCCAGACTCTCAAACATCACCGCCAATGTGAAGAGACCAACAGCTTAAAAGGTAAGGTGCTCTTTAAGAAGGCCTGCTTCTTGAAATGCGGCTTTAGTTGGATGATGTTAGAGTACCTGTAGGCACTATCTGCGTTTTCCTTTTGCCGTGTTCGACGAGCTTCCCAATGGTGTTGGCTGCATGTCTCAGATTTGTTGTGCGGGATGTGTTTCTGTTTTAAAATTTTTTGTCATTGTTCTTCAAACCTTTAAACAAATCAAACGTTTTCTTTCCTTTCTTGCCATGCTTCAGCATCTCAAGGTGCAGTGTACGAAGTGTCCTGAACTTGAGACATTTTTCGAACTTCCGAGTGCTTTCCGCTTCCCATCAGTCTAGGCCCGGACAGATTGGCCTCTTCACCCTCTTCGGGGCCAGATGAGTTGAAAACGAGCTAAACACAACAAAGTCCTTTGACATCCATGCAGCAAAACTTTGGTTCTTGTCTTTCCTTTTTCGAACAAGGTTGCGCTGCTTCCAGAGTTCAGCACGCCAGTGAGGGCCCCAGTATGTCGCCAGCTTTGCATCACTAGTCACTGCTAGGAAGGAATTTGACATTTGAACTTGTACACAAGATGTCAGGCAGAATGCTTCGCTATAACAAAATGCCATATACCTCCGGATCAAAATTTCCTGACAGCATGGGACAGGAATTTTCATGGGTACGAACTTTGTCGCGATTCTGGTTCATGAGCCTGGTGAGCTTTTCATGTTTTTTGATATTTTCTTCCATCTTAAGGACGCATCCAGAGAGGTTGGCGACTTTGGAGGCACAATTCCTGACCACACACATGCGACATGATACATCATATGAAACAGCATATGATACATCATGTATCATAGATGATTGATTGTGACAACAAGTCTTTAAGTTGGAGGCCGTCAGGTTGGAGGCCATTTCTATTAGGTTTCCCTAATGATAACAAGAAGCTACTAGGAACAAGTGCATCGCTACTGGGAACAAGTGCCTTACTAGTAGTAACAGGTGCCTTACTAGTAATAACAAGAAGCTATTAATTTAATTTTATTGTCTCCGTCTGTTGACAGATCCGCTTGGTTTCCAGCAGTTGACCTTCGGCTCCGACCTCCGAGACTTGCGAAATCGAGAGCTGAACAACGGAAGGCGGAGGGGCGGGGAAAAAGTGAACCAGAAGTGATGAACGCATGATATATTGTTACTACTAGTAAGGTACTTGTTACTACTAGCGTGGCACTTGTTACTGGAAGCGTCCTTGTTACTACTAATTCATGATATATTTATAGTAAGGGCTCCGCCCTGGTGCCGCCGACCCCTTTTCTTGGGGGAGGAGCTGGAAGAACCAGAAGCCGGACAGGGATTGCTATAACCAGACACCGGCTATGTGCTCAAGACTCTGTATTCTTGATTCCTTTTACCGGTGCCTATGCTACACTACGGATGCGCTAGTGTATGCACAGTCCTTGTCACGAAAGCTAGCATGCTAGCTGACTTCTTCGTTGCTTTAGCAATTGGTAGTGGGATGAGCTGTGTGCCTTAAACCTTGATATATCACACTGGTGGTGCTTGCTGCCGGTGGTGCTGCTGCTGCTGCGGCTTGATGCTGCGCTGCTGCTGCGTGGTGCTGCTGGCTGGCTGCCGGTTGGCGGTTGGTGCTGGCTGCTGGCTGCAGGCGGCTGCTGCTGCTGCTGCTGCTGCTGCTGGCCGCTGCTTGCCGCATAGGACTTGTACTTCACCGTTACAAGTTGTTCACCCCTAGTTCTAACCTAATGCACGCGAAAGCGGGTGGCAAATTTACCCCCCAGGCTTGCTATAACCATACACCGGCTATTTCCTCAAGACACTCTATTCTTGATACCTCTATTCTTGATACCTTTTACCAGTGCTTATCCTACACTACGGACGCCCTAGTGTATGCACAGTCCTTGTGATGCTTACCCCTCGTTCCGGCTGCAGGCATGTGCAGCCAAAGGTCCCGGGAAGGGCTGTGGAGCCTGG